AGAAGAGTTCCTGCAGAAGTCCACATGGCTCTGACCCAGCTGTCATTTCAGAAAGCTCTAAAAATTTGGCTCTTTCAGCAGGCTGTGGAGTAGAGTGATTTGCAACCCCACCCTGATTTTAATTCTTTGGTACTTGTGGTGTTTTCCTTCCCAATATGGTAGTTTAAGATGGTTTTGTGATTTCGCTTATTGCTTGCTTTACTTTTTATGTTTTCATGGACTCCATATCATCTAGAGTCACTTTGGTTATTAAGAGAACTTATAAATTCAGTAATTCAGTAAATAAATATTTTCTCTCCATGTGGTTTCATGGTAAAAAAATATAGGAGTAGTTTGCCATTGCCTTCTCCTGCCTAGTATGAATTGATGCCTTTGCCGTTGTCACTAAAGTGATCACCAGCCTCCACCATCTTCCTAAATCTCTGCTGCCCAATGTAGGTGCCTGCTTGCTTTAGCTGGCATCTGGGATGACCTTCATGCCTTGAGTGACCATGCTAGGAATACAAACGTTTCGGATATAATCCCAATGTTCTTCACTCATCCCTCCCTGGAATACCCTCCTGCCATGATGAAGCAGCACAGCAGGATTTGCCTGGTGGGCTGGGGCAAAAGCAGCAAGGGAAAGAAACTCATGTATTCTATACCACTGAGAGTCACTTTGGTGAATGAGGCAACTTATACATTAAGGAAATCAGTAAAGGAATAACAAGCAGCAAAGCGATTTGAGGAGAGAACTGGGAGATTCTGGGTTCTCCTAGGAAAGGATACTTGTGGAATGATCCTAGAAACCAAGTGAACCCCCAGTCATTCCTAGAGCTCTACGGTGTACCCAAGGAGAAAACAAAACACCTGTGAGCTTCAAAAAAAAAAATCTTTAAAAGATTCAGCTTTCAGACTGTGCTCAGAATGAGAGACATGAAGACTTCCAAGGGGATGCACAAGACATAATACTGGACTAGATAATAGCTCTGGGACCCAACAAGACTCTCCTTTAAATTCAGGTAGATTTCATGGACAGATGGTACACCATTATTTTCAAATGATTCTGGCAAAATATCACATTAGGAACAAACTGGGTTAAAGAGCCCTTGCTTAAAAAAAAAAACCTTCCTCTGCTATTTGAATGACACATTGTCAGAACTAACCTCATTAATGTGAATTACTGTGATAATAGCTTGTTGACAAACCCCAGTCCTAATTGGATAAAGCATTGAAAGACATATTGCCATTTTTTTCCAAACCACGAAGTACGTAAAACAGGAAGACAAGCAAAAAGCTGCAGAGAAAGGTATAGAACCACCTCCAGATCAACTAGAGAGTGTCAAACAGAAGGAACCAGCTGGACAATGATGGAGATCGGGGCATTTTTGCTTCCTCTGCTGCTTGCTCTGCTGATTCTGTTCTTCCTGAAACAACTCTGGTCCCGAAGACATTTGCCTCCCGGTCCTTTGGCTCTGCCTCTCATTGGGACCTTTTGGGCAAATGGGTTTTGGCTTCGTGAAGATTATTTCCTTAAGGTATTTCATTCTAAATAATCAACCAGTAATAAGTAACATAATTCTCAATTGTTTTCTTTGTACTGTAGTTATGGACAAATGTATTAACCTAGTAAAATGTTCTGGCAGGATGAGGAATACAATTAATCAAGTCATAGTGATGAAACCTGATTAATTATTTTCCTCATCATGCTAGAATATTCAAGTCAAGACCTGCTTGCCACCATTTCACAGGGCAGGATGTGAAATAATGGGGCTGAATTTTAAGAAAGCAGATTCTAGTTCAATCTTACCAAGAAACCTTTGGTTACAGAACCAATTCTCCAGAGAGAGGGTGGCTTCCCCTTCGCTCTGTTCAAAGGGCGGCTAGACATCCCTCTGTTGAAGAGGCTTTGATTTGTATTACTGCAGTGGACAATAGGTAGAACC